ATCAGAATGAAGATACCAAAACTTGTGTTTATGTTTGTTTTTATAATTTGTTATGTAATTAAATAGCTGTCACGCTTCCTGGCTTTCCCCCTGCCCTTCACTAGCCACAGCCCTGAAGAACGCCCTCACTCCAACCAACCAGTGACTGAGCCTCACAGGAAAACTGCAAGTCTCCTATTGGTCACTCTGGCCGGCCGCAAAGCAACTCTCCATCAGATCAGAAATCAGAAGCGGCCGCCTAAGACTTTAACCTGGTGGAGATTCAACACCGTGGGTGCAAAAGAAAATGCTATTTTGCCCTAAGGAGGCAGAGGGGGGAAGCTATCTGTGGATATTAGACATGTGAGAGATATTTGTGGCATTACCTATGTTTTCGGGTATATTATAATGGCACTCTGATGTCTAGGCGATAAGTAACAGATCTAGTTATCCCCAGACTCAGAGGCATCAGTGTGGGATTTTCATTGTTCACACCATGGACTCGATGCTGGGGTCATGTGTATAAAAGTGTGCCTTGTTCTCAATAAACCAGTTCTTATTCATTAGGTCTCGGCTAGTGTTTGGGTGAGACGACTATAACAGCTATATTCACTCCAAGTATCCAGCGCTGAAAGAGAGGGACCCTTGACAGAGACATTCAGGCTGAGCTCTGTCATACTAAACTCTACAAAATGGAAGCGTTGTAAATGCCCAATCCACACAGTATACCCCTGTGGGCATCACAGTCTACAGAATTATTCCAGTTAACCACATAACCCTTTGCTTGCCAGAAAAGGCTATCAATCATTAAAAGGTTAATATCAGTAAGGTGGATTGAGTAGATCTCTCTAGCCATTTTTTTTTGGTAAGACCGCATTTTTTTCAGTCATTAAAGGGATACTTTACTGCCCAAATAAAAATATACAAATAAATATCACTGTTTAGTAGATTACCCCAATGAAAACATTCATGCATTTAATTTTGCATTTTTACATTGGAGTATATGTAAAAACAGCTTGGAGAAACTGCTGGTATCTTGTCTGCAGCCTTTGCAAGCCCTCCCCTTCTAACCCCGCCCAGACTTTATGTGGCTGTCCAATCACAGGCTTCCCAATGCAGCTCAATGAGAAGTCTTTACAAGGCAAGGCAACTCCTTAACATAATGCCCAACTAACTCTTTCATTACTCCAGAACTTCATAGCAAAAGTGGTACAGTTACAGAAATCCCATATTCTATACAGTGTTACCCCTTTCCTCCAAAACTAAGCCCAACCTGAATATCACATATAATATGCTGACATTTTATCCTCTAATCAAGCTCATTATATAAAGAGGGCGACATGCGAAGTAGAAAAAAGAGCTAATTTATTACATTTGTATGATTATTTTTAATTCTCTCGAATTTATCCCAGTTGAGTAAGTACGCCCCAGAATATTTGTCTAACTGTAATATGCTTTCATTTATTAGTATCATAAGGTATTTATATAGTGCTAACCTATTCTGCAGTGTTGTACAACAGAGAGAATAATAATCAAATAATAAACACATACTGATACAAAAGGAACAGAGGATTCTACCATGAGCTTCCAAGCTAGCAAATACAGTACTTTATACAGAGTGCTTAGCAAGCTAGCACGTGAGCTTGCAATCTAAATGTAATTTATGGTTTATGAGTTTACGCAACATGATTGCATGGGAATATTTGAACTATTGATCTCCGGAAGGCACCAATGAAATAAATAGTCTCCCTAAAAAATAGGTATCTGCTGGTCACTGGTTACAAAAATACCCACACTCACATTCACTGCCCCAATATCTGCAGTCAGCATGCGTTAAACTGATAGATGGCAATAGAGTGCAAACGTCCCCACCTGACCAATGCCATCACTTCTGATCATTTCAAATGATTAGTTATTACGAGTTATTACACACCACCTGTACTGTTACTTTCACCAAATATTAACTGGTTGACAACCAGATGGTTGAAAATCCACCACATCATAATGCTGAACACCAACTCCCATCAGGCTGGAACCATCACCACGATAAACATTGCATTATTATCTCAAACCCTACCGAACCCCACACAGGCAGCCAACCTCGGTGGATCACAACTTCCCTTCATGTTATTTAATATAGTATGGATTGGCATGAGTTCTAAGTGAATTTATACAAAATTTCAAATTTTGAGCCAAAATTAAAATAAAAAAACTGACTTTTTTTTGCCAAATAAATTTTTTGCCATAAAATTTGAAATACATTAACATTTCATCCTTTAGTGAATAACCCTGATTGTATATCAACCTGAACTCTGATTCCTACTATTGTTAAACAGCTTCACTACACCAATATCATTATATTATAGGCACAGTCAGGGCATGCTCTGGATTACAACTCCATCTGGGCCCACACAGCATTTAGCGTCAACTGGATACATCATGTCCATTCTATAAAAAAATCCAAACCCAATATTTGCTCACTTTGTATCAATTACCCAGCCATGCCCACCCTATCCACAGTCATTCTCATATTATACCTAGCCATGCCCACTCTATACCGAGCCATGCCCAAAACACATCACAGTCATTCTCATATTATACCTAGCCATGCCCACTCTATACCGAGCCATGCCCAAAACACATCACAGTCATTCTCATATTATACCCAGCCATGCCCAATCTATCCCCAGTCATTCTCATATTATGCCCAGTCATGTCCACTCTATACCCAGCCATGCCCAATATAGCCACAGTTATTCTCATATTATGCCCCTTATCCCCACTCTATACCCAGTCATGCCCACTCTATGCCCAGTCATGCTCTTATTATGCCCAGTCATGCCCATTCTATACTTAGTCGTTCTCATTTGAAACACGTCCATGTCTGTCCCCAGTGTTTCCAAATCTACACTCTGTTTTGTCCATCCTATGCTTAGTCCAAAATCCATTCTATTCCCAGTCATACCTGTGCTTCACGCAGTCATGCCCAGTTTTGCTTGTTTTTTGATTAGATATGCCCATTATATGCCAAGCCAGGCTATATCTATGCCCAGCTAACCCTTTCCAATCCAGGTCATGCCCATTCCACCCAATCATATTCACTCTAATCCCAGTGATGCCCAATCCAATCATACTCACTCTAATCTCAGTCATGTCTATTCTACCCAACCATGCACTTTCAATGCCATTTATTTAGACATTTTACTGCCAACCCCATTTACAAATACCCTGTACCCATGCACGCACTTTCAGTATCCATCAATGCACATCCAATATGAACTCATGCACATTCTAATCAAATTTGTAATTCTTTAGCCAACCATGCACCTTCTATACACATAGATGAACATCCTATACCCGGCCACAAACATTCTAGGCTTAGCCATGAACATTCTATACCCAGCCACAAATATTCTATGCTCAGCTATGCTCAGCCATTAACATTCTACATCCAGCCCTGAACATTTTATGCTTAGCCATGAACATTCTATATCCAGTCATGAACAGATTATATCCAGCCATGAACAGTCTATATCTAGCCATGAACATTCTATATCTAGCCATGAACGGTCTATATCAAGCCATGAACAATCTATAGCTAGCCATGGACATCCTATAACCATCCATGAGCATTATATATCCTGCCTTGAACATTCTATGCTCAGGCATGAATGTTCTATACCCAGCCATGACCATTCTATACACATCCATGACCATTCTATACCCAGCCATGACCATTCTATACACATCCATGACCATTCTATACCCAGACATGACCATTATATACACATCCATGACCATTCTATACACATCCATGACCATTCTATACCCAGCAATGACCATTCTATACACATCCATGACCATTCTATACCCAGCCATGACCATTCTGTACACATCCATGACCATTCTATACACATCCATGACCATTCTATACTCAGCCATGACCATTCTATACACATCCATGACCATTCTAAACACAGTCATGAACATTCTATACCTAGCCATGACCATTCTATTCCCAGCCATGACCATTCTAAACACAGTCATGACCATTCTATACCTAGCCATGACCATTCTATACCTAGCCATAAAGATTCTATACCCAGGCATGAACATTCTATATCTAGCCATGAACATGATATATCCAGTCGTGAACATTCTATACCTAGCCATAAACATTCTATATCCAGCCATGAACATTCTATACCTAGCCATGAACATTCTTTATCCACCCATGAACATTCTATACCCAGCATGAACATTCTATACCTAGCCATAAACATTCTATATCCAGCCATGAACACTCTATACCTAGCCATGAACATTCTATACATAGCCATGAGTATTCTATACTCAGCCATGAACATTCTATAACCAGCCTTGAACATTCTGTGCTTAGCCATGAACATTCTATACTCAGCCTTGAACATTCTATATCCAGCCACGAACATTCTATACCTAGCCATGAACATTCTATATCCAGCCATGAACATTCTATACCTAGCCATGAACATTCTATATCCACCCATGAACATTCTATACCCAGCATGAACATTCTATACCTAGCCATAAACATTCTATATCCAGCCACGAACATTCTATACCTAGCCATGAACATTCTATATCCAGCCATGAACATTCTATACCTAGCCATGAACATTCTATATCCAGCCATGAACATTCTATACCTAGCCATGAACATTCTATACCCAGCCATGGACATTCTATACCTAGCCATGAACATTTTACACATCCAGCCATAAACATTCTATACCTTGCCATGAACATTTTATACATCCAGCCATGAACATTCTATACCTTGCCATGAACATTATATACCCAGCCATGAACATTCTATACTCTGCCATGAACATTCTATACCTTGCCATGAACATTCTATATCCAGCCATGAACATTCTATACTCTGCCATGAACATTTTACACATCCAGCTATGAACATTCTATACACGGTCCTCAACATTTTACACATCCATGCCCTCTACCCGCACTCTACCATGAATGCCCATTCAGTACCCAGCACTGTGCCTTACCTGTGCCCCGTTCCTGGCTGCTCCCATACTCAGCGTCCCTCCTTTTGCCGCACCCCCCCTGGCCATTCACCAGAGCCTGTAGGGGGAGATCGGAGCCGGGGTTGGGGTAGCAGCGGAGCCCGGTGGCACAGCGGGCGGTGTACACCCCGCAGGACTCTCCCTCCACCCGGGCGCACACAGGACAGCAGCCGCAGCCGGGGGCCCGTACCAGCTCCGCGCAGGGGCTCCGCGGGGGCAGGGCAGGACAGGCAGCCACACGCTCTGGAGTGCAAGGGGGGCAGCGGAACAGAACCTCGGCCGAGGAGACCAGGGCGGCCGCCAGCAACAGCAGGAACCCAGGGAGGCTCATCTTAGGGCGGGCAGAGAGACCGGTAATCCTTCTTCTGGGGCTATAATCACCTGAACTAGCCTTAATACCCCACCTGCCCTGATACTATCTATATACTACCCTGTGTCAGCCTTATTACTCCCACCTGCCCTGGTACTATCTATATACTGCCCTGTGTCAGCCTTATTACCCCACCTGCCCTGGTACTATCTATATACTGCCCTGTGTCAGCCTTATTACCCCACCTGCCCTGGTACTGTCTATATACTGCCCTGTATCAGCCTTATTACCCCACCTGCCGGGGTACTATCTATATACTGCCCCTTATCAGCCTTATTACCCCACCTGCCCTGGTACTATCTATATACTGCCCTGTGTCAGCCTTATTACCCCACCTGCCCTGGTACTATCTATATACTGCCCTGTGTCAGCCTTATTACCCCACCTGCCCTGGTACTATCTATATACTGCCCTGTGTCAGCCTTATTACCCCACCTGCCCTGGTACTGTCTATATACTGCCCTGTATCAGCCTTATTACCCCACCTGCCGGGGTACTATCTATATACTGCCCTTATCCAGCCTTATTACCCCACCTGCCCTGGTACTATCCTATATACTGCCCTGTGTCCAGCCTTATTACCCCACCTGCCCTGGTACTATCTATATACTGCCTGTTAATCGAGCTTATTACCCCACCTGCCCTGGTACTATCTATATACTGCCCTGTGTCCAGCCTTATTACCCCACCTGCCCTGGTACTATCTATATACTGCCCTGTGTCAGCCTTATTACCCCACCTGCCCTGGTACTATCTATATACTGCCCTGTGTCAGCCTTATTACCCCACCTGCCCTGGTACTATCTATATACTGCCCTGTGTCAGCCTTATTACCCCACCTGCCCTGGTACTGTCTATATACTGCCCTGTATCAGCCTTATTACCCCACCTGCCGGGGTACTATCTATATACTGCCCCTTATCAGCCTTATTACCCCACCTGCCCTGGTACTATCTATATACTGCCCTGTGTCAGCCTTATTACCCCACCTGCCCTGTTACTGTCTATATACTGCCCTGTATCAGCCTTATTACCCCACCTGCCCTGTTACTATCTATATACTGCCCTGTATCAGCCTTATTACCCCACCTGCCCTGTTACTGTCTATATACTGCCCTGTATCAGCCTTATTACCCCACCTGCCCTGTTAATGTCTATATACTGCCCTGTATCAGCCTTATTACCCCACCTGCCCTATTTACCGTATTCCCTGGAACTCTCTGACCAGCTCACCCCTTTTTGTTGCCCTGCTGCCCTCGCTGACTACCTACCTTCAATGTTAAGATATCTACCTGTTATCTTCCACCTGTGTTCCTCTGTTTGTAACTCTACCTTATATTAATTGATCTGCCCCTCTTCTCCAGTATCTATTTACTTCCTCTGCTCAGGGTGTCAAATTACCCCCTTTTCTTAGGGTATTTATTTGCCCCTTTCCCCAGGATACTGATCCCCCTGCTCAGTGTGGATCTCTCTATATTATCTATACTATCTATACCTTGTGCACAGTATTATTCTGTTTCCCCTTTCTCACCTGTTTGGTAAATCTATCCTTTATATCTATCTGTGAATTCTTTCCTTTCCTCTTTCACTTGTCCCTGTCTACCTTACATCCTTCTGGTTTTATTCCCCTCTCCCCAATCCCCCCTCCCTCACTATCTCCTCCTCCTTCCCACCCCTCCCTTCTCTGCCTCTCCTGCATGTCTCCTGTGCCACTGGCACCCTTTAACCTCCTCAGGGTCTCATTCCCAAAATATTGCACCATCTGGGAGCTCTGTGCAGCATCTCTGATCTCACAACTACTGGTGCCTACTGTCTGCCCCAAGATATGCTAGCTTCTTTCTATCTATCTATCTATCTATCTGTCTGTCATCTGATTATCTACCATATATCTACAGTATCTATCACTCTATCTATTATCTATCTATCTATCTATCTATCTGTCTGTCTATCTGTCTATCTGCCTGCTGGCCTGTCTGTCTCTCATCTGATTATCTAGCATCTATCTATCTATCTAGCTAGCTAGCTATCTGTCTATCATATGTCTGTCTGTCTGTCTATCTATATATCATCTGATTATCTATCTATCTATCTATCTATCTATCTATCTATCTATCTATATGTCTGTCTGTCTATCTATCTATCTATATGTCTGTCTGTCTGTCTATCTATCTATCTATCTAACTATCTATCTATTTATCTATTTAAGATGTGGTTTTATCAGAGTCCACACAAATGTTTAAACAGCAATTGGATGCATACTTGTAAAAACATACATGGATATACCGTTCTAATTAGTAGGGTAATAGCTGCTTGATCCAAGGAGATATCTGACTGCTATTCTGGGGTCAAGAAGAATGTTTTCCTAGTTTGTTGTAAAATTGTTGCAATAAAACAGTTGTGAGAAAGGCTGAACTTGATGGACACATTATTATTATTATTATTATTACTACCAATTAGATGTCGCTTTTCAGCTATTGGACTATGTATGTAAATATCTATCTGTACATCCCACTTATGTTGTATCTATCTATCTATCTATCTATCTAACTATCTATCTATCTATCTATCTATCTAGCTATCTGCCTATCTGTCTGTCTGTCTATCTATCTATTATTATTATTATTATTGTCATTTATATAGCGCCAACAGATTCCGTAGCTCTTTACAATATCTATCTATCTATCTATCTATCCATCCATCCATCTATCTAGAGCACAGTTCACAGCTGGGGCACCTTGATACACGTCCTTTTCTTGGCCAATCTCCCTTAGTCTGGTAAGAGCTTGTATTTCTACGCTCTAAACAGCTTAGCGCTATAAGTAATTATTTATTAACTTACCTTATTGATATTGAACTTGTTTTTCCGAAAATATAGTAAAGGAAATGAATTGTATCCCTGGAAGTATCTCATTGTGCGCATTACGTTACCTCGGGCAGATCCGCATGCACACAGTTCATTATTGTGAAAGCCGTTACTACATTCTCTGCCTGAGACTAGAACCACATGTAACCAGTTAATGTTACCTCCAGTCTTTGAGGTTAATTGTGACCTGGGCAAGTCTCTGCTTGTGTGCCCCCTGTGTTTACACATATCCTGCCTCAATTCCCCACACGCTTACCACAATCGCTCTACCAACACTATGAACTCATTCTCCCCATCAAATCCTCTCTCTTAAACCCACAGTGAAACCATCCCACCTTTTCTACACCACATACACCAAACTACCACAACTCTGTACACATCAGACACCAACTACCCCACTTCTGTACGCCACAGATATCAACTACCCTACCTCTGTACACCACAGATATCAACTACCCTACCTCTGTACATCACAGACACCAACTACGCCACATCACAGACACCAACTACCCCACCTCTATACACCACAGACACCAACTACCCCACCTCTGCACACCACAGACACCAACTACCCCACCTCTGCACACCACAGATACCAACTACCCCACCTCTGTACATCACATACACCAACTACCCCACCTCTGCACACTACAGAACCAACTACCCCACCTCTGCACACCACAGAACCAACTACCCTACCTCTGCACACCACATACACCAACTACCCTACCTCTGCACACCACAGACACCAACTACCCCACCTCTGCACACCACAGACACCAACTACCCCACCTCTGCACACCACAGATACCAACTACCCCACCTCTGTACACCACATACACCAACTACCCCACCTCTGCACACCACAGAACCAACTACCCCACCTCTGCACACCAGAGAACCAACTACCCTACCTCTGCACACCACAGATACCAACTATCCTACCTCTGCACACCACATACACCAACAACCCTACCTCTGCACACCACAGACACCAACTATCCTACCTCTGCACACCACATACACCAACTACCCTACCTCTGCACACCACAGACACCAACTATCCTACCTCTGCACACCACAGACACAACTACCCCACCTCTGCACACCACAGACACCAACTTCCCCACCTGTACAACACAGACACCAACTACCCTACCTCTGCACACCACAAACACCAACTACCCTTCCTCTGCACACCACATACACCAACTACCCCACCTCTTTACATCACAGACACCAACTACCCCACCTCTGCACACCACATACACCAACTACTCCACCTCTTTACATCACAGACACCAACTACCCCACCTCTGCACACCACAGACACCAACTACCCCACCTCTGCACACCACAGATACCAACTATCCTACCTCTGCACACCACAAACACCAACTACACCACATCTGCACACCACATACACCAACTACCCCACCTCTGCCCACCACATACACCAACTACCCCACCTCTGCACACCACAGACACCAACTACCCCAACTCTGTACACCCCAGATACCAACCATCCCACTTCTGTACAACACAGACACCAACTACCCCACCTTTCTACACCACATACACCACACTAACCCACCTCCGTACAACACAGACACCTAATACCCCACTTCCGTACAACACATACACCTAATACCCCACCACTGTACACCACAGATACAAACTAACCCAACTCTGAACATCACAGACATCAACTACCTCCCTCTGTATATCACAGATACCAACTACCCCACCACTTTACACCACATATACCAATTACCCCACCACTGTACACCACAGAAACCTACTCCCCCACCTCTGTACATCACATACACCAACTACCCCACCTCTGCACACCACAGACACCAACTACCCCACCTCTGCACACCACAGAACCAACTACCCCACCTCTGCACACCACAGAACCAACTACCCTACCTCTGCACACCACAGATACCAACTATCCTACCTCTGCACACCACATACACCAACTACCCTACCTCTGCACACCACATACACCAACTACCCTACCTCTGCACAGCACAGACACCAACTACCCCACCTCTGCACACCACAGAACCAACTACCCTACCTCTGCACACCACAGATACCAACTATCCTACCTCTGCACACCACATACACCACCAACCCTACCTCTGCACACCACAGACACCAACTACCCTACCTCTGCACACCACATACACCAACTACCCTACCTCTGCACACCACAGACACCAACTATCCTACCTCTGCACACCACAGACACCAACTACCCCACCTCTGCACACCACAGATACCAACTATCCTACCTCTGCACACCACAGACACAACTACCCCACCTCTGCACACCACAGACACCAACTTCCCCACCTGTACAACACAGACACCAACTACCCTACCTCTGCACACCACAAACACCAACTACCCTTCCTCTGCACACCACATACACCAACTACCCCACCTCTTTACATCACAGACACCAACTACCCCACCTCTGCACACCACATACACCAACTACTCCACCTCTTTACATCACAGACACCAACTACCCCACCTCTGCACACCACAGACACCAACTACCCCACCTCTGCACACCACAGATACCAACTATCCTACCTCTGCACACCACAAACACCAACTACACCACATCTGCACACCACATACACCAACTACCCCACCTCTGCCCACCACATACACCAACTACCCCACCTCTGCACACCACAGACACCAACTACCTCAACTCTGTACACCCCAGATACCAACCATCCCACTTCTGTACAACACAGACACCAACTACCCCACCTTTCTACACCACATACACCACACTAACCCACCTCCGTACAACACAGACACCTAATACCCCACTTCCGTACAACACATACACCTAATACCCCACCACTGTACACCACAGATACAAACTAACCCAACTCTGAACATCACAGACATCAACTACCTCCCTCTGTATATCACAGATACCAACTACCCCACCACTTTACACCACATATACCAATTACCCCACCACTGTACACCACAGAAACCTAGCCCTGAATTCTCACGTTATTCGTATATGTCTATTAGATGCAGAGGAGAAGCAGGATGGTCTTCTTCTTTGTCACAAATAGTGTATACCCTGTCCAGCAGGATATTTATTGAATATGTACTGTATGACCCAGTTGTAGTTCGACTCATCACATATCAACTTATTCACAGTCCAGTTCACAGTTTTGTACCAAGCATGCCCTTAACTGTGGCTTGGTCTGTCTTCAGATGCCAATCCCAGTTGCAAGTATGGAGCATGCAAGTTGGACAGATATTCGATAGCCGAGAAGGAAGTTAAAATTACTCTTTTGGTCTCAGAGTGCTGCAGAGCTGGCTTATATCTAAGCATTTATAGCAGTTCACTGTATTGATAAGACACTCTCAGCAGGCAATTCCTATAGTCTTGGTTATGTTTCTTAACATCACCTTTTATCTTAACTGGTGCTCACTTTGCAAGTTGAGTCCTCAATGAATTACATTTTGTAACTGGATTGCGGTATATTAACATAATCTCATAGGATTAGAGGAACGATAGGAAAAGTAAAGGGATTTACATGAAAGTGAGAGTAAACAGAAAGTTGTTCAAAGGCAGAAATGTATTGTCATTGTTTAAAAATATATTTACAGAGAGATATATAATAGCTAAATATACATAAACTGCATCTGG